CGCTCCCCAAGGGTGCTGCACTACGCAGCAGTACGCTAGAAGATACGACCTTGAATACGCGAGTGACCGATTCCACCGGCTACGCTGTAAATAGAAACATTAATAAAAACATTGTGGGCCTTGCGGCCCAAACATCACCCGTGAAAATACGCGGAATCACTGTATCACCCGTGAAAGTACGCGGACTCGCTGATTCACTACGCAAGTTAGAACAATAACTACGCTGAACTTAAGATCGAAACGAAGGGAGAGTAGCAACCTTTCGTTGCTACTCCCTCCCCCCCTACGCAGATTACGTCTTTAATGTACGCGATGAAAATCAAAGCAGAGAGAGGGTAGGAACCTCTCGTTGCCATTTTACCCTGTACGCAGATTACGCTTAAAATGTACGCAGTTAAAATTCAAAACAAAGAGAGGGCAGCAACCTCTCGTTGCCCTTTTACCTTGTACGCAGATTACGGTTTAAATGTACGCAGTAAAAAATACGCGGTCTACGCTTTTAAATGTACGCAGTTAACTCACCTCTCACGATATTCTTCTTCCTCCTCACGTTGCCTTACGCGGTATTCGTACGCAAATTTCTCTTCTTCGGCAGCCAGTGCACGCACTATGCATGCTACGCGGCGGGCTCTACGCATACGGGAGCTATACTTCGCGAAGGACACATCACAGTACGCGTCATGGTTGCCCCAACAAAAGGCTGTATGGTGCCGATTGTCTCGGCACCTCTTGCAGGTCTTACGCTTTTCATCTACCATACAGTCCTTATCTAAATGCTTCCCCCCACACCGGAAACAACGCCCGTTACGCGCGTGAATATAAATACGGTCTGAGAGGAATGGAAAGTTCTGACATTGAGCAGAAAAATGCTTCTGCAAGCAGAAGAAGCAACGTGTCTTTTCTGTTGCAATTGGGTCTCCAGGACGCGTACGGTACTCGTCACGAAGGGCCCCCGTACTCGTGTACGCCTTCGTACGAATAACCCTACCGAAGAAGCCCTTGATGGGATAAAACGCGGATGGCGAGATGGCTCTACGGCAAGGAGGAACGGGTGAGTTACGCTGGGTACGCGGCGAAGGACTACGCGGTGGTGTTGGGGCGCCGTAACCCTGCGGCGGCCTACGCGGGGAACAAGGTTCACTACGCGGGGAAAGATTACGCGGCGAATAATACGCATCCCCTGAATAGCGCTCCTCGCGCGGAGGCTGCCTACGCGTTGACGAATAAGGGCCTAAGGCGGCGCACGCCTCACAAGACGAATACCAACTCAAAGGCGAAGGGGACCGTACGGTCCGGCGTTCCCCGCGAGGGGAATCCCTACGCGGAGACAGAGGAGGGCCTGCGGCTCGGTGTTCCCCGCGGGGGGAATACCTACGCGGAGGCGAAGAGGAGCCTACGTCGCGGTGTTCCCCGCGAGGGGAATACCTACGCGGAGGCATAGGAGAGCCTGTAGCCCGGCGTTCCCCGCAGGGGGAATACCCAGGCGGAGGCGAAGAAGAGCCTACTGCGCGGCGTTCCCCCTGAGGGGAGCGCCTACGCGGAGGTGAAGGAGAGTGTCTAATTGAATGCGCAAAAGCGCAGATACAAGTGTGGCACGGGGTGTCGCCATGTCCCGAAAAACAGTTACAAGTATGGTGGAACTCCCCATGGGGGCGGGCATGGCAGCAGGGTACGCAGGTACTATGCTCGTGGCAGCCATTGTGCGGATCTTGATGACAACTGCGATTGATGACATTGCAGCAGCAGCCTTGGCGGGCCAGAGCGTGCGTGCATATGGATCTTATTTCCCTGGTTTGCACCCCTTGCTCCTTTGCTTGAACGTTCGCTTTATAGGACATTGTGCGTTGACTGCCGGAACAGCTGAGACGGGTGGGCCTCATAAACGCCAAATTACCTGAAAAGCGAACGATGAGGGCTAGGTTAACTCGGGAGTACGCAAACCGTGCGACGAAATAATTACGCAAAGATGTGTCATCAACTATACGGAGGAATAAGGCTAAGCTGGATGACTAGGAAACTACTAGGACCTACGCTGAGATTTAATTGAGTAATATTGGAGAAAGTACGATTTTAAAAAGGGCTATGAATTAAATACGACATTATATTAATGAAGAAATTGCGTGTGTTCAATAACGAAGCAAGTGTATGCTTCGTTACGAAACGCACGACGGAGAAGGGGGTGTGTGTCTACACTAAATACCAATGTATTGAATTGAAAACTACGCAAAAATGGTGAAAGGAAGAACTACATGAAAGTTTTGCCCATAAAAGGCCTCATAAACGTGGTATTTGTAATGAAAATGTCGTAAGAAAACAATGCTATAATCTACGCGAGGCAATTTGAGTCACTTCTACGCATCAGCTACGCAGTGTGTAGGACTGATACGCAGAAATCGACATGAAATTACCTACGCCTACATTATAGTGCTAACTTGTAAAACAAACTACCGCGCCCACCCTGGTCAGGCAACATTAACAAAATCTACGGGAGCTAGCTATTGAAATGCTAACTAAAACAAATATGTGTGCAGCTAAAATAAAAGCGGTGAGCTCGCAGAAACATACATGATAGGTGAAATTGGTGCGCAAAGGGAAAAAACTCACCGCTACGCAATTTTAAACGCTGCGAGCAGGGTACGAAACAAATGGTCATAAAATTCAATAAAACAATCAACAACAAAGAATAAAAAAGGCAAAAAAAGAAAAGAAACGCTGCGCAGAGAAAAGCATGCGCCAACAAATGCTTAAACTGCACACATTGCCTACTAATTATAACAAAATGGGTACCTGACCAGAATGAGCGCGCTCCAACTCCTTCCTTGCGTCCATATGAGCGTAGAATATAAGGATAGTCGTAATAAAACATACGTCGTCGTAGTATACGAAGAAAAAAGATAAAAAATGCCCCCATCCGGGCCATATGACGAAATACGAAAAAGATCAATATTCGAACGGCGTGCGTTCGCGGCTTATCAAAATGCGTGCGTACGCGTTGCGTGCGCGTTGCGTGCCTACGCTAGAGCAACTCAGTGAGCGTTTTAGCGCACTACGCGAATAAATTGAGTTACTACGCCGCGAAACACGCAGGAAATTGGCTTTACTGATTACGGATGAACTTGTGTGCGCTTTTGGCCGCCCTTGATGGCTGTTTTCGCTGCGGAAGCGGTGTTATGGATGGAATTTTAGGCTTCAGCGAAGTAGTGGCGGCGCGGATTTCTAACGGATACAGCTGTAATATTGATCTTGTTTTGATTTTACCGCCTGGCATGAGTACGTCAGCCGTTCTTACCTGGTGATCGCTACCCTGATGTACTTTTTGAATAAGGCCATACGGCCATAACCCTCTCGGAAGTTTTTCCTCCGCTACGATAACAACGTCCCCGGTCTGCGGCATTAAGGTAACATATTTGCCTTGACGTACGCGGGCTTGCTGTCGTTCACGCAACGCAGAGAGGTAGTCGGTGTGCCAGACTTCCCAGAACTGGTCGAGAAGTGCAAGCATCTCCTTGTACCACTCTGCAAGATTGTGAGAGGTGTCGTAGACGGGGTCTACGTACGAGGGAAGAGGGGGTAGCTGAATGCTGACTGCCGGCGATATGAAATCTATTGGCCGTAGGACATACGCGAAAACGTCCCGCTCCCAGAAGGGGGTAATAGGACGAGAATTTAAGGTCGCTTCGATCTCAGCGACTACGGTTTGAAGCTGGTTTAGTTGTAATACAGCGCGACCGATGGTCTTTTTGTACGCGGTTTTGAATAGGGCCACCAAACGTTCATAGAACCCTCCTTTCCAAGGGGAAAGAGGGGTTATGAACTTCCAGTTTATTTTGTGCTTTACGCAGTAGCTGGAGACGGCTTCCCAAGATTTGGGAGAGTAAAGCACTGACGTGATGGCATTTTCTGCCGCGTGAAACGTGGTCGAGTTGTCGCTGTATACGACAGTCGGCGTGCCCCTTCGGGCAATAAATCTCCTAAAGGCCAGTAAAAACTCTTGCGCTGAGTTATCAAGTACAACTTCGAGATGTACTGCGCGTGTCGCCATGCAGGTAAACAGGCTGATCCACACCTTGTTGGAATTAGAGTGCGGGTTGCTTACGGTAAGTGGGCCGAGGTAATCTACGCCGATGTTTTGAAAGGGCCGTGATCTTTTAACCCGTTCTGGCGGTAGCTGCGGCATGTTGGGGTACCGATAAGCTTGCCCGTTGACCTTTTTGCAGACTACGCACTTACGCAGAGTTTTCTGAACATATTTACGAATAGATGGAATAAAAAATCGCTTCCGTAGATTAACTACGGTATGATAAGTGCCGGAATGATGGTATAAATTGTGATAGTAAAACGTTATAATTGATGTTAGTTTGTGAGCAGGCACTAAAAAAATGGGTGCTGAAGCTACGGTGCCTACGCGTGCCGGGCAACGAATCAAGTGATCTTGGTCTCGCTGAGCATTGTACTGAGCGAGTTTTACCCGCATTAGAAAGTCTTCACTCTCGCGGTAATGCGCGAGAATGAGTTGAACTTCTGCGGTTTCGATGTCCGACACTAGTATTGCACCTGACGACGAAATTTTACCTACGGAGGGCAATTTTTGAAGGATCTTATCGCGCGTACGTTGTGATACGCGGTCAAAAAACTGCCTACGTAGGAACTTAAGTATATAAACAGTGATACGAGTGAGCTTCAAAAGACTGTTTGTTATTGAAAATGGTAGAACTGATACGAACTTACCTTCCTGGACCGTCTGTACATTTTGGTACTCACATTCAACTTCTTCTCCATCTTGAGGAGGCACTCTAAAATCGATTTGCGCATTGGGCCACTGGGTAGATGGTCTACGCAAGAACTGAGGGCCAGTCCACCAGATGTGGTTTTCGGCTTCCTTCGTGGCTAGACCGCGAGTGGCACAGTCTGCCGGATTTTCCTCGGAAGCGACATAGTGGAACTTGATTGGTATACCCTGGGTCTCGAATTCTGCCATGATACGACGGATGGTGTCTACTCGATTCTGAACGAATACCTTGTAGGGTCTCAGCGCGTGTATCCAGTGTAGCGCAATCAATGAATCCGAAAATACGTGTACGGTTGCGAAAGGCAAGTTTAGATGTTTGGCGAGGAATTGCGCCATGCGTACGCTAATTAGAGCTGCGAGTAACTCTGTGCGCGGGATTGTAACTGGTTTGGGGTTGTTCAGATGGGATTTCGCCATAACTAAGTTGGAATACGTTATGGTAGTAGTACGACAAACCAGATAAGCGCAACAGGCATAGAGACGCTTGGAAGCATCTCCGAAAACACACAACTCTAGATTGCTAGGTTTAGATGTTACAGGCGTGACTAAACGTGGAATAAGCGGCAATGGATGTTTCAAGTCCGCTAATAGCTGCTCCCATCGATCTAGCTGGGTCTTATCCAAGGGGTCATCCCAGCCCATTTGTTGGATCCAGAGGTCCTGTATGAAGACTTTGGCTGGAGCCAAAAATGGGGTGAGCAACCCTAAGGGATCGTAAGTAGATGCAAAGGCGCATAATGCCGTACGTTTTGTTGTTACGCAGATTCTGGATATTTTTACGCGAAAATCCAAAACGTCCCTGGTGAACTGCCACCGTATACCTAGCAGAGTAGCGCTGGATGGATTAATGGCGCGATCTTGAACCGGTATGAGGGAGTTAACGCGAGTAGAATTGCATAGGAACTCGCGGAGGTTCATATGCATTCTACAGAAGATGGATTTTACGAGTTTATACTTGCTATACGCATCTTCTCGTGAAGTGGCTCCCAAGATGACGTTATCCACGTAAGTATTACGAGAGATTTCGTCACCCAAGGGGGATTCTTCACGTTGAAGATACAATTTGATGGCAGCCGCAAGTAAAAACGGAGACGCG